CAAAAGAAGAATAGTGTCTGAAGCGTTCACACAGTTTTATTATTACAACTTTTAACAACTCGCTAAATCTAAACTAATTATTATATTAGATGTTTTTTTGTCTGTATTTTTGTGTTGAGTGAGATTAAGATGAAGAGATCCTTTATTCATCCCACAGCGGGGAAATGTCAGTGTTGCGTCGCAAGTTATAGAACAGCAGGAAAGAGGAGCACACAGCATCAGATAAATGAACAATAACTCTGCACTAATTAAAACAAAACTAAATATCTATCTCTAGCATCAATAACAAGTATAAAATCTCTATCTTGAACATAATGATAATAATGATAATGATAAAGAAGTATTGTTTTGTGTCTGAATTACAGATTAAATAGATAAAAGAGAAATATAATGTTTTGCTCATGAAAGAGACGTGTTTATCTTAGTATCTAAATGTCAAAAATAAAAGTGTTGTCTGATCCCTCTGTGGGTCTGCAGTCGCTCTGAGCTCCAGAGAACAGTGCTGAGAGAGACAGGTGTGTGTGGGGCGGAGGCTGATGGGGCTGTGGAGGTGGGGTGGAGGCTGGTGGGGCGGAGGCTGGTGGGGCTGTGGAGGTGGGGTGGAGGCTGGTGGGGCTGTGGAGGTGGGGCGGAGGCTGGTGGGGCGGAGGCTGATGGGGCGGAGGCTGGTGGGGCTGTGGAGGTGGGGTGGAGGCTGGTGGGGCTGTGGAGGTGGGGTGGAGGCTGGTGGGGCGGAGGCTGGTGGGGCTGTGGAGGTGGGGCGGAGGCTGATGGGGCGGAGGCTGATGGGGCGGAGGCTGGTGGGGCGGAGGCTGATGGGGCGGAGGCTGATGGGGCGGAGGCTGGTGGGGCGGAGGCTGGTGGGGCTGTGGAGGTGGGGCGGAGGCTGGTGGGGCTGTGGAGGTGGGGTGGAGGCTGGTGGGGCTGTGGAGGTGGGGCGGAGGCTGGTGGGGCTGTGGAGGTGGGGCGGAGGCTGGTGGGGCTGTGGAGGTGGGGTGGAGGCTGATGGGGCTGTGGAGGTGGGGTGGAGGCTGGTGGGGCTGTGGAGGTGGGGCGGAGGCTGGTGGGGCGGAGGCTGGTGGGGCTGTGGAGGTGGGGTGGAGGCTGGTGGGGCGGAGGCTGGTGGGGCTGTGGAGGTGGGGTGGAGGCTGGTGGGGTGGAGGCTGGTGGGGCTGTGGAGGTGGGGCGGAGGCTGGTGGGGTGGAGGCTGGTGGGGCGGAGGCTGGTGGGGCTGTGGAGGTGGGGTGGAGGCTGGTGGGGCTGTGGAGGTGGGGTGGAGGCTGGTGGGGCTGTGGAGGTGGGGTGGAGGCTGGTGGGGCTGTGGAGGTGGGGTGGAGGCTGGTGGGGCTGTGGAGGTGGGGCGGAGGCTGGTGGGGTGGAGGCTGGTGGGGCGGAGGCTGGTGGGGCTGTGGAGGTGGGGTGGAGGCTGGTGGGGCGGAGGCTGGTGGGGCTGTGGAGGTGGGGTGGAGGCTGGTGGGGCTGTGGAGGTGGGGCGGAGGCTGGTGGGGTGGAGGCTGGTGGGGTGGAGGCTGGTGGGGTGGAGGCTGGTGGGGCGGAGGCTGGTGGGGCTGTGGAGGTGGGGTGGAGGCTGGTGGGGCGGAGGCTGGTGGGGCTGTGGAGGTGGGGTGGAGGCTGGTGGGGTGGAGGCTGGTGGGGTGGAGGCTGGTGGGGTGGAGGCTGGTGGGGTGGAGGCTGGTGGGGCTGTGGAGGTGGGGTGGAGGCTGGTGGGGCTGTGGAGGTGGGGTGGAGGCTGGTGGGGTGGAGGCTGGTGGGGCTGTGGAGGTGGGGTGGAGGCTGGTGGGGCTGTGGAGGTGGGGCGGAGGCTGGTGGGGTGGAGGCTGGTGGGGTGGAGGCTGGTGGGGCGGAGGCTGGTGGGGCTGTGGAGGTGGGGTGGAGGCTGGTGGGGCGGAGGCTGGTGGGGCTGTGGAGGTGGGGTGGAGGCTGGTGGGGCTGTGGAGGTGGGGTGGAGGCTGGTGGGGCTGTGGAGGTGGGGTGGAGGCTGGTGGGGTGGAGGCTGGTGGGGCTGTGGAGGTGGGGCGGAGGCTGGTGGGGTGGAGGCTGGTGGGGTGGAGGCTGGTGGGGCGGAGGCTGGTGGGGCTGTGGAGGTGGGGTGGAGGCTGGTGGGGCGGAGGCTGGTGGGGCTCTGTAGGTGGGGTGGAGGCTGGTGGGGCGGAGGCTAGTGGGGCTGTGGAGGTGGGGTGGAGGCTGGTGGGGCTGTGGAGGTGGGGTGGAGGCTGGTGGGGCTGTGGAGGTGGGGCGGAGGCTGGTGGGGTGGAGGCTGGTGGGGTGGAGGCTGGTGGGGTGGAGGCTGGTGGGGCGGAGGCTGGTGGGGCTGTGGAGGTGGGGTGGAGACTGGTGGGGCGGAGGCTGGTGGGGCTGTGGAGGTGGGGTGGAGGCTGGTGGGGTGGAGGCTGGTGGGGTGGAGGCTGGTGGGGTGGAGGCTGGTGGGGTGGAGGCTGGTGGGGCTGTGGAGGTGGGGTGGAGGCTGGTGGGGCTGTGGAGGTGGGGTGGAGGCTGGTGGGGCTGTGGAGGTGGGGCGGAGGCTGGTGGGGTGGAGGCTGGTGGGGTGGAGGCTGGTGGGGCGGAGGCTGGTGGGGCTGTGGAGGTGGGGTGGAGGCTGGTGGGGCGGAGGCTGGTGGGGCTGTGGAGGTGGGGTGGAGGCTGGTGGGGCTGTGGAGGTGGGGTGGAGGCTGGTGGGGCTGTGGAGGTGGGGTGGAGGCTGGTGGGGTGGAGGCTGGTGGGGCTGTGGAGGTGGGGCGGAGGCTGGTGGGGTGGAGGCTGGTGGGGTGGAGGCTGGTGGGGCGGAGGCTGGTGGGGCTGTGGAGGTGGGGTGGAGGCTGGTGGGGCTCTGTAGGTGGGGTGGAGGCTGGTGGGGCGGAGGCTGGTGGGGCTGTGGAGGTGGGGTGGAGGCTGGTGGGGCTGTGGAGGTGGGGTGGAGGCTGGTGGGGCTGTGGAGGTGGGGCGGAGGCTGGTGGGGTGGAGGCTGGTGGGGTGGAGGCTGGTGGGGCGGAGGCTGGTGGGGCTGTGGAGGTGGGGTGGAGGCTGGTGGGGCGGAGGCTGGTGGGGCTGTGGAGGTGGGGTGGAGGCTGGTGGGGTGGAGGCTGGTGGGGTGGAGGCTGGTGGGGCTGTGGAGGTGGGGTGGAGGCTGGTGGGGTGGAGGCTGGTGGGGCTGTGGAGGTGGGGTGGAGGCTGGTGGGGTGGAGGCTGGTGGGGCTGTGGAGGTGGGGTGGAGGCTGGTGGGGCTGTGGAGGTGGGGCGGAGGCTGGTGGGGTGGAGGCTGGTGGGGTGGAGGCTGGTGGGGCGGAGGCTGGTGGGGCTGTGGAGGTGGGGTGGAGGCTGGTGGGGCGGAGGCTGGTGGGGCTGTGGAGGTGGGGTGGAGGCTGGTGGGGCTGTGGAGGTGGGGTGGAGGCTGGTGGGGTGGAGGCTGGTGGGGCTGTGGAGGTGGGGCGGAGGCTGGTGGGGTGGAGGCTGGTGGGGTGGAGGCTGGTGGGGCGGAGGCTGGTGGGGCTGTGGAGGTGGGGTGGAGGCTGGTGGGGCGGAGGCTGGTGGGGCTGTGGAGGTGGGGTGGAGGCTGGTGGGGCTGTGGAGGTGGGGTGGAGGCTGATGGGGCGGAGGCTGGTGGGGCGGAGGCTGGTGGGGCTGTGGAGGTGGGGTGGAGGCTGGTGGGGTGGAGGCTGGTGGGGCTGTGGAGGTGGGGTGGAGGCTGGTGGGGCTGTGGAGGTGGGGTGGAGGCTGGTGGGGTGGAGGCTGGTGGGGCTGTGGAGGTGGGGTGGAGGCTGGTGGGGTGGAGGCTGGTGGGGCTGTGGAGGTGGGGTGGAGGCTGGTGGGGCTGTGGAGGTGGGGTGGAGGCTGGTGGGGCTGTGGAGGTGGGGGTAGAGGCTGGTGGGGCTGTGGAGGTGGGGCGGAGGCTGGTGGGGCGGAGGCTGGTGGGGCGGAGGCTGGTGGGGCTGTGGAGGTGGGGTGGAGGCTGGTGGGGCGGAGGCTGGTGGGGCTGTGGAGGTGGGGTGGAGGCTGGTGGGGTGGAGGCTGGTGGGGCTGTGGAGGTGGGGCGGAGGCTGGTGGGGTGGAGGCTGGTGGGGCGGAGGCTGGTGGGGCTGTGGAGGTGGGGTGGAGGCTGGTGGGGCTGTGGAGGTGGGGCGGAGGCTGGTGGGGTGGAGGCTGGTGGGGCGGAGGCTGGTGGGGCTGTGGAGGTGGGGTGGAGGCTGGTGGGGCGGAGGCTGGTGGGGCTGTGGAGGTGGGGTGGAGGCTGGTGGGGCTGTGGAGGTGGGGCGGAGGCTGGTGGGGTGGAGGCTGGTGGGGTGGAGGCTGGTGGGGTGGAGGCTGGTGGGGCGGAGGCTGGTGGGGCTGTGGAGGTGGGGTGGAGGCTGGTGGGGCGGAGGCTGGTGGGGCTGTGGAGGTGGGGTGGAGGCTGGTGGGGTGGAGGCTGGTGGGGTGGAGGCTGGTGGGGCTGTGGAGGTGGGGTGGAGGCTGGTGGGGTGGAGGCTGGTGGGGCTGTGGAGGTGGGGTGGAGGCTGGTGGGGCTGTGGAGGTGGGGTGGAGGCTGGTGGGGCTGTGGAGGTGGGGCGGAGGCTGGTGGGGTGGAGGCTGGTGGGGTGGAGGCTGGTGGGGCGGAGGCTGGTGGGGCTGTGGAGGTGGGGCGGAGGCTGGTGGGGTGGAGGCTGGTGGGGTGGAGGCTGGTGGGGCTGTGGAGGTGGGGTGGAGGCTGGTGGGGTGGAGGCTGGTGGGGCTGTGGAGGTGGGGTGGAGGCTGGTGGGGTGGAGGCTGGTGGGGCGGAGGCTGGTGGGGTGGAGGCTGGTGGGGTGGAGGCTGGTGGGGCGGAGGCTGGTGGGGCTGTGGAGGTGGGGTGGAGGCTGGTGGGGCGGAGGCTGGTGGGGCTGTGGAGGTGGGGTGGAGGCTGGTGGGGTGGAGGCTGGTGGGGCTGTGGAGGTGGGGTGGAGGCTGGTGGGGCTGTGGAGGTGGGGTGGAGGCTGGTGGGGCTGTGGAGGTGGGGTGGAGGCTGGTGGGGCTGTGGAGGTGGGGCGGAGGCTGGTGGGGTGGAGGCTGGTGGGGTGGAGGCTGGTGGGGCGGAGGCTGGTGGGGCTGTGGAGGTGGGGCGGAGGCTGGTGGGGTGGAGGCTGGTGGGGTGGAGGCTGGTGGGGCGGAGGCTGGTGGGGCTGTGGAGGTGGGGCGGAGGCTGGTGGGGTGGAGGCTGGTGGGGCGGAGGCTGGTGGGGCTGTGGAGGTGGGGTGGAGGCTGGTGGGGTGGAGGCTGGTGGGGTGGAGGCTGGTGGGGCGGAGGCTGGTGGGGCTGTGGAGGTGGGGCGGAGGCTGGTGGGGTGGAGGCTGGTGGGGCGGAGGCTGGTGGGGCGGAGGCTGGTGGGGCTGTGGAGGTGGGGCGGAGGCTGGTGGGGTGGAGGCTGGTGGGGTGGAGGCTGGTGGGGCGGAGGCTGGTGGGGCTGTGGAGGTGGGGCGGAGGCTGGTGGGGTGGAGGCTGGTGGGGTGGAGGCTGGTGGGGCGGAGGCTGGTGGGGCTGTGGAGGTGGGGCGGAGGCTGGTGGGGTGGAGGCTGGTGGGGTGGAGGCTGGTGGGGCGGAGGCTGGTGGGGCTGTGGAGGTGGGGTGGAGGCTGGTGGGGCGGAGGCTGGTGGGGCTGTGGAGGTGGGGTGGAGGCTGGTGGGGTGGAGGCTGGTGGGGCGGAGGCTGGTGGGGCTGTGGAGGTGGGGTGGAGGCTGGTGGGGTGGAGGCTGGTGGGGTGGAGGCTGGTGGGGCTGTGGAGGTGGGGCTGTGGAGGTGGGGTGGAGGCTGGTGGGGCTGTGGAGGTGGGGTGGAGGCTGGTGGGGTGGAGGCTGGTGGGGCTGTGGAGGTGGGGTGGAGGCTGGTGGGGCTGTGGAGGTGGGGCTGTGGAGGTGGGGTGGAGGCTGGTGGGGCTGTGGAGGTGGGGTGGAGGCTGGTGGGGCTGTGGAGGTGGGGCTGTGGAGGTGGGGTGGAGGCTGGTGGGGCTGTGGAGGTGGGGTGGAGGCTGGTGGGGTGGAGGCTGGTGGGGCTGTGGAGGTGGGGTGGAGGCTGGTGGGGTGGAGGCTGGTGGGGCTGTGGAGGTGGGGTGGAGGCTGGTGGGGCTGTGGAGGTGGGGCGGAGGCTGGTGGGGTGGAGGCTGGTGGGGCGGAGGCTGGTGGGGCTGTGGAGGTGGGGTGGAGGCTGGTGGGGTGGAGGCTGGTGGGGCGGAGGCTGGTGGGGCTGTGGAGGTGGGGCTGTGGAGGTGGGGTGGAGGCTGGTGGGGTGGAGGCTGGTGGGGCTGTGGAGGTGGGGCTGTGGAGGTGGGGTGGAGGCTGGTGGGGTGGAGGCTGGTGGGGCTGTGGAGGTGGGGTGGAGGCTGGTGGGGCTGTGGAGGTGGGGTGGAGGCTGGTGGGGCTGTGGAGGTGGGGTGGAGGCTGGTGGGGCTGTGGAGGTGGGGTGGAGGCTGGTGGGGCTGTGGAGGTGGGGTGGAGGCTGGTGGGGTGGAGGCTGGTGGGGCTGTGGAGGTGGGGTGGAGGCTGGTGGGGTGGAGGCTGGTGGGGCTGTGGAGGTGGGGTGGAGGCTGGTGGGGCTGTGGAGGTGGGGCGGAGGCTGGTGGGGTGGAGGCTGGTGGGGCGGAGGCTGGTGGGGCTGTGGAGGTGGGGTGGAGGCTGGTGGGGTGGAGGCTGGTGGGGCGGAGGCTGGTGGGGCTGTGGAGGTGGGGCTGTGGAGGTGGGGTGGAGGCTGGTGGGGTGGAGGCTGGTGGGGCTGTGGAGGTGGGGCTGTGGAGGTGGGGTGGAGGCTGGTGGGGCTGTGGAGGTGGGGTGGAGGCTGGTGGGGCTGTGGAGGTGGGGTGGAGGCTGGTGGGGCTGTGGAGGTGGGGTGGAGGCTGGTGGGGTGGAGGCTGGTGGGGCTGTGGAGGTGGGGTGGAGGCTGGTGGGGTGGAGGCTGGTGGGGCTGTGGAGGTGGGGTGGAGGCTGGTGGGGCTGTGGAGGTGGGGTGGAGGCTGGTGGGGCTGTGGAGGTGGGGTGGAGGCTGGTGGGGCTGTGGAGGTGGGGTGGAGGCTGGTGGGGCTGTGGAGGTGGGGTGGAGGCTGGTGGGGTGGAGGCTGGTGGGGCTGTGGAGGTGGGGTGGAGGCTGGTGGGGCTGTGGAGGTGGGGTGGAGGCTGGTGGGGCTGTGGAGGTGGGGTGGAGGCTGGTGGGGCTGTGGAGGTGGGGTGGAGGCTGGTGGGGTGGAGGCTGGTGGGGCTGTGGAGGTGGGGTGGAGGCTGGTGGGGTGGAGGCTGGTGGGGCTGTGGAGGTGGGGTGGAGGCTGGTGGGGCTGTGGAGGTGGGGTGGAGGCTGGTGGGGCTGTGGAGGTGGGGTGGAGGCTGGTGGGGCTGTGGAGGTGGGGTGGAGGCTGGTGGGGCTGTGGAGGTGGGGTGGAGGCTGGTGGGGCTGTGGAGGTGTGGTGGAGGCTGGTGGGGCTGTGGAGGTGGGGTGGAGGCTGGTGGGGCTGTGGAGGTGGGGTGGAGGCTGGTGGGGCTGTGGGGGGGGTGGGGCTGGTGGGGTGTGGGGTGGGGTGGAGGCTGGTGGGGCTGTGGAGGTGGGGCTGTGGAGGTGGGGTGGAGGCTGGTGGGGTGGGGCTGGTGGGCTGTGGAGGTGGGGTGGAGGTGGGGTGGAGGCTGGGGGGTGGAGGGGTGGGCTGTGAGGTGGGGTGGAGGCTGGTGGGGCTGTGGAGGTGGGGTGGAGGCTGGTGGGGTGGAGGCTGGTGGGGCTGTGGAGGTGGGGTGGGCTGGTGGGGTGGAGGCTGGTGGGGCTGTGGAGGTGGGGTGGAGGCTGGTGGGGCTGTGGAGGTGGGGTGGAGGCTGGTGGGGCTGTGGAGGTGGGGTGGAGGCTGGTGGGGCTGTGGAGGTGGGGTGGAGGCTGGTGGGGCTGTGGAGGTGGGGTGGAGGCTGGTGGGGTGGAGGCTGGTGGGGCTGTGGAGGTGGGGTGGAGGCTGGTGGGGTGGAGGCTGGTGGGGCTGTGGAGGTGGGGTGGAGGCTGGTGGGGCTGTGGAGGTGGGGTGGAGGCTGGTGGGGCTGTGGAGGTGGGGCGGAGGCTGGTGGGGTGGAGGCTGGTGGGGTGGAGGCTGGTGGGGTGGAGGCTGGTGGGGCGGAGGCTGGTGGGGCTGTGGAGGTGGGGTGGAGGCTGGTGGGGCTGTGGAGGTGGGGTGGAGGCTGGTGGGGCTGTGGAGGTGGGGTGGAGGCTGGTGGGGTGGAGGCTGGTGGGGCTGTGGAGGTGGGGTGGAGGCTGGTGGGGTGGAGGCTGGTGGGGCTGTGGAGGTGGGGTGGAGGCTGGTGGGGTGGAGGCTGGTGGGGCTGTGGAGGTGGGGTGGAGGCTGGTGGGGCTGTGGAGGTGGGGTGGAGGCTGGTGGGGCTGTGGAGGTGGGGCGGAGGCTGGTGGGGTGGAGGCTGGTGGGGCTGTGGAGGTGGGGTGGAGGCTGGTGGGGCGGAGGCTGGTGGGGCTGTGGAGGTGGGGTGGAGGCTGGTGGGGTGGAGGCTGGTGGGGCTGTGGAGGTGGGGCGGAGGCTGGTGGGGCTGTGGAGGTGGGGTGGAGGCTGGTGGGGCTGTGGAGGTGGGGTGGAGGCTGGTGGGGCTGTGGAGGTGGGGTGGAGGCTGGTGGGGCTGTGGAGGTGGGGTGGAGGCTGGTGGGGTGGAGGCTGGTGGGGCTGTGGAGGTGGGGTGGAGGCTGGTGGGGCTGTGGAGGTGGGGTGGAGGCTGGTGGGGCTGTGGAGGTGGGGTGGAGGCTGGTGGGGCTGCTGTGGAGGTGGGGTGGAGGCTGGTGGGGTGGAGGCTGGTGGGGCTGTGGAGGTGGGGTGGAGGCTGGTGGGGCTGTGGAGGTGGGGAAGGGCCTCTGTCACTGCCTCAGATCAGCCTTTTCCACTCAGACTGAAAAGTGAGAAAGTCAGGACCATTCGGTTTGTTTGGCATTTGCTGTGAAATCGCATTGGAAAAATAAATATGAAGTAAAACCAGCTAAAAAGTACAGGAAACTATCGTCACGGAAACCATTCGACAAAAACAGCGGATAACAAACAACAGGTGGAAAATAATAATAACATTTATGGAGATTGGTCGTGGAGGGTTCGATTCCCCCACGAGACCTTCTCCACCAACTCTCACTGATGTCGTTGTGTCCTTGGGCAAGACACTTAACCCCACTTTGCCTGAAGCCCCCGCTGAAAGATCTCAGCTCCTGTGGACTCAGCCCCTGCAGGAGGATCAGTGAGGGGCTGGGGCTCTGACTGCCACCCCACACCCAGACATGGATTCAGGGGAAGAAAAATGGATGGATTGAACTGAAGATAAAGTGCTTTGTTCAAAGTGATAACAGAAGTTGTTAGCATGTTAGCATGTCCTGCATCTCAGCAAACGATATCTTCTGCCAGAGGGAAGAAGCTGGAACATGGCTTTTCCAGGGGCCAGAAGAATCGGTTTAAGAATCTGGATTTATAAAGTACTTTCAGAGCAGACAAAGTCCTTTTTCAGAGCAAAGCATCTTTTGAGATTTTTTATGTACTTAACTATAGTGTTTTAAGTCTGTCTTATGTGTGTTTTCAATGAAGACAAATTTCCTACGGGACATAATAAATTAATGGATTTTGATCTTTTTTGGAGTTTTCGTGGATTGAACCAAGTCTGGACCAAAGCAAAACAGTGTGAACAGATTTACAGGTGAATATTTTTGACAAATTAAGAGTGTAAGGGTCCAGGGGCCACATGACAGAGTGAAAATGTGTGAAGATGTGGCCCTTAACCCTAGTCCTGGTCGAGAACACAGAGACCCACGCACCATGACTGCTGTGTGCGGGTCGGGAACACACTTCTGCAGTTACAGCCCGACACAGGGACCTCCTCCACCAATCAGACGGCTCCTTTTGCTTCCTGCCTTTTGCATTTTAAAGAAGATGATGTCGAAAAAGCCAAACACTCGCCACGTCTGCCAGACCACAGAAGATAACAGCAGAAATCCATTACTCGACATGTGCTGTTTGTTGATGCGTGGTTTACCGTCCAACCAAATCACTCATGTCTAGTTATTATTTCAGTTTTGTTGATTTAATCTTGTGTGTGTGTGTGTGTGTGTGTGTGTGTGGTGACTCCAGCCTCTGTGATGGTCCGGTGGTTTACCAGAGGACCCTCTCTGCTCTGGTGTTACCCACAGATGAGGGCTGTGATGTCCTGATAATATTCGGAGGTGTGTACCATCCATCATCTACACTATCTCAGGCTCCGCGCTGTTGGGTTGTGTTCAAGAGAGGGGCAAAAAATAGCACAAAAATACAAAAATCTGGCTAAAAACCGCTATAGCTTCATTCCCACTTAGCAAAAACATTGGTTGAAAAATTTGATAAAAAATAGACATTGAGCGCCATTGGGTTGGTGTGTCTAAACAGCTGGGCCTTTAACCCGCCTTGCGATCTAGTCTTTTTGCAAAAGGCTGTCGTTTAGACTGTTCTGTAGATCACAGGGACCAGAGGAAGGAGGTTCTGTGGCTTAGAGAACAGACTTTGCTTCAGCTGCCCTGGGGCACTCTGACAGAAGCGAGGCAGCCAGTCTGTGCCATCAGCCCCTCCCACACACACGCCAGACAGTGTGGGTGAAGTGTCTTGCCTAAGGACACAACAAGAGTCAAAAATATTTCTGTTTCGCTGCAACAACTGAAGGGTTTCATCTCCACTCTTTTATAACTCACTGTGATTATTGATTGTAATGCCTTATGTCAGACATGTCCAACCTCAAGCCCGGGGGCCAATTGCGGCCCTCTGTGTCAATGTATGTGGCCCTCTGTCTTTTTAAGTAGTCTTTGAGATCATAAACACAATGTCATCCATCCAACTTCAGCTCAGCCAATACAGACCTTGTTCTAAAGCCCAGTACGTCTGACATTCAGGGTTGACTTCATTTGTCATTCAGCCAACTTCAGCTCAGTTATAGATCATTTTAAAGCTCTTACTAAAAGGTTGGCCTGATGTGATTCTTGTTTCATGAAGCACTTAGAGTTTCCTTGTGTATGAGCCGTGCTATAATAATAACTTTGCCAAACATTGATCGTTGACGCAGAACACTACACTCCACGTTTTTCTTCAGGTTTTCTCTCATTTTCATTCTTCTGTATCAATATCTGAGCTCCCGGGGCCTCAAACATGAACTCTGCAGAATTACTCAAATATGAACGAATCAATCAAAAATAAAACAGTGAAAGTTTATGAGGAGAGGAAACTATTAAAGGTGAGAAAGTCGGTTTTATTGCCTCACGGTGGTCGTTAATCACGGAGTCCGTTCTCTCTGAGCCCGAGCTACTTCTCTGAGCTGTGGAGGAGATTCTGATCGGGATTTTTCCTTTTAATTGGAGGTTATGTTTGTATTTTGATAATCGGATTCTTGTGGTTGAACCTCAGAGAGACTGAGATATGAGCAGAAAAAATATTATTAAAAATAAAACATGTTTCTGAGGCCATTGATATTAAAGCATTTACAGATGAAAGAAAAAGCAGATACTTATTTTGTATAGTGTGTGTGGCCTCTGTGTGTCTTACCACTGTCCTGACTGTGTCCTGCAACAGTGAAATGTCCCCACTGTGAGATGAATAAAGGATCTCTGTCGAATCTTAGAAGAATCAAAAGAAAGACCCTAAAGGCAGGAAGTGAAGTTAACATGAAAACAAACTTTATATATACACATATATATATACACACACATGCACACACACACACACACACACCATCTCTCTCTCTCACACACAGACACACACACACATACACACGCACACACACACACACACACCACACACACACACATACACCACGCACACACACACACACACCACCCCCACACACACACCACACCACACACACACACATACACACACACACACACCACACATACACACACACCACACATACACACACACACACACACACCACCCCCACACACACACACACACCACCCCCACACACACACCACACCACACACACACATACACACACACCACACATACACACACACCACACATACACACACATACATACACACACACACCACACACACACACACACCACACCACACACACCACACACACACACACATACACACACCACACACACACATACACACCACACACACACACACCACACACACACACACCACACACACACACATACACACACCACACACACACATACACACACACACACACACACCACACACACACACACACCACACACACACATACACACACACACACACCACACACACACACACCACACACACACACACCACACACACACACATACACACACCACACACACACATACACACACACACACACACACACACACACACACCACACACACACACCTGGACGCAGCTGTTAGCGGGTCCCAGTCCATCAGCCACAGCCCGTACTCTCCTCTCCTCCTCGGACACGGTCCCGGGCTGTGATTGGTCGAACAGAAGCGTGTGGAGACTCAGGTGGCGCTGCAGCGGGACTGATGAAGGGAAATGTGTGAGTGGATTACAGCACTGACAAGGAAGCAGGAAAGGCAGAGAGGGGTCAAATAATGTCTGTTCAATCTCTGGTCTCTCTCTCTGGTCTCTCTCTGGTCTCTATCTGGTCTCTCTCTGGTCTCTCTCTGGTCTCTCTCTGGTCTCTCTCTCTGGTCTATCTGGTCTCTCTCTGGTCTCTCTCTCTGGTCTCTCTGGTCTCTCTCTAGTCTCTCTCTGGTCTCTCTCTGGTCTCTCTCTAGTCTCTCTCTGGTCTCTCTCTAGTCTCTCTCTGGTCTCTCTCTGGTCTCTCTCTGGTCTCTCTCTGGTCTCTCTCTAGTCTCTCTAGTCTCTCTGGTCTCTCTAGTCTCTCTCTGGTCTCTCTCTGGTCTCTCTCTCTGGTCTCTCTCTAGTCTCTCTCTGGTCTCTCTCTGGTCTCTCTGTGGTCTCTCTCTGGTCTCTCTCTGGTCTCTTTCTCTGGTCTCTCTCTGCTTTCTCTCTAGTCTCTCTCTAGTCTCTCTCTTGTCTCTCCCTGGTCTCTCCCTGGTCTCTCTCTGGTCTCTCTCTGGTCTCTCTCTGGTCTCGCTCTGGTCTCTCTCTCTGGTCTCTCTCTGGTCTCTCTCTGGTCTCGCTCTGGTCTCTCTCTCTCTCTCTGGTCTCTCTCTGGTCTCTCTCTGGTCTCTCTCTGGTCTCTATCTGGTCTCTCTCTGGTCTCTCTCTGGTCTCTCTCTGGTCTCTCTCTGGTCTCTCTCTTCTCTCTCTCTGGTCTCTCTCTGGTCTCTCTCTGGACTCTCTCTCTGGTCTCTCTCTTCTCTCTCTCTGGTCTCTCTCTGGTCTCTCTCTAGTCTCTCTCTGGTCTCTCTCTGGTCTCTCTCTGGTCTCTCTCTGGTCTCTCTCTAGTCTCTCTAGTCTCTCTAGTCTCTCTGGTCTCTCTAGTCTCTCTCTGGTCTCTCTCTGGTCTCTCTCTCTGGTCTCTCTCTAGTCTCTCTCTGGTCTCTCGCTGGTCTCTCTGTGGTCTCTCTCTGGTCTCTCTCTGGTCTCTTTCTCTGGTCTCTCTCTGCTTTCTCTCTAGTCTCTCTCTAGTCTCTCTCTTGTCTCTCCCTGGTCTCTCCCTGGTCTCTCACTGGTCTCTCTCTGGTCTCTATCTGGTCTCTCTCTGGTCTCTCTCTGGTCTCTCTCTGGTCTCTCCCTCTGGTCTCTCCCTCTGGTCTCTCTCTGGTCTCTCTCTAGTCTCTCTGGTCTCTCTCTGGTCTCTCTCTGGTCTTTTGTCCCGGGGTATACAGCTTAATTACAGACGACAAAATAAACAAATATTCACTCTTGATTATCTTTTTTTCAATTTCTGAATCACGTCACAAAAATCCACTCAGTCATTTCACAGCCCACTCACAGAAACACATTGGGATGATGGTTCTGGTCCCTTTGCTTCTCCTCCCTGGTCCCTGTGTGCCCGTTGATGGTCCGCAGACCTCATCACGTCACTCACACAGATTTTATTTGTTTTCCTGAAATAATGTCCAGATCCCGGCAGCAGCTGAGGTCATGCTCTGGGTCTTTGTCGTGTGAAAAAGGGGATTTCACAGCGACCCAGACCGAGCCCAGACCGAGCCCAGACCGAGCCCAGACCGAGCCCAGACCGAGCCCAGACCGAGCCCAGACCGAGCCCAGACCGAGCCCAGACCGAGCCCAGACCGAGCCCAGACCGAGCCCAGACCGGAAAATAAACACATTTTTGTCATTCAAGTTGTTCAAGATGCTGCAGGTTTTTCTCCGGCCTCCGCTGGTCCCCGAGGACACGACAGGACGCATTCTTATTGGACAGTTTTCAACACCAGCGAAAGTTTACCATCGGTCGCACATAATCAAAGTCGAAAGTGAAAATGATACTAAAGACATAGATTAGTTATAGATTTTATTTTCTGTATTTTTCGCACTATAAGCCGCACCTGGTTACAAGCTGCACCCGATTATAGCCGCACCTGGTTATAAGCCGGACCCGATTATAGCCGCACGCGATTATTAACCGCATCTGGTTGTAAGCCGCACCTGGTTATAAGACGGTCCTGATTATGAGGCGCACCTGGTTATAAGCCGCACCTGGTTTTAAGCCGCACCTGGTTTTAAGCCGCACCTGGTTATAAGACGGTCCTGATTATGAGGCGCACCTGGTTATAAGCCGCACCTGGTTTTAAGCCGCACCTGGTTATAAACCGCACCTGGTTATAAGCCGCACCTGGTTATAAGCCGCACCTGGTTTTAAGCCGCACCTGATTATAAGCCGCACCTGATTATAAGCCGCACCTGGTTATAAGCCAAACCTGGTTTTAAGCCGCACCTGGTTATAAGCCAAACCTGGTTTTAAGCCGCACCTGGTTATAAGCCGCACCTGGTTTTAAGCCGCACCTGGTTATAAGCCGCACCTGGTTTTAAGCCGCACCTGGTTATAAGCCGTTTTCTTGTATAAGGTGCACTGTTAAAATAAAAAGCTTTTATGTTATTTTAATTTAGAACCGAGATATTGTTCATTTATCGTGACTTTGAACTGAGGATCTCGTTATAACAAAGGTTTATAGGAGGACTTTCCCAAACTTTTGGAAAGAACCGCCCTCTCCACTTTTTGAACAAAACTCTCAGGTCTTATTGGACGAGCACGTATCACCAGAATGATTGACAAGTGGGAGGACCAATAGTGTTGAGGATCCACCCGGACATAGAATACATTGAAAACTACACTGCAAAAGGCAATACAAAAATAAGTTAAAAAATGCTTCTTAATTTGAGCACATTCTGACTGAGCCTAAAACAAGATTTCCCAATGGCACAAAGAAAAATGATTTTAAAAAAAGATATAGAAATGTCTCCGTTGGAATGAGGAGAAAAGTGTTTAAAATCAGACCAAATAAAAATGTTAATACAAAGAAAAAAACACTTGACTCCAGAAATTATGACCTCATTTTTTTGCAGTGTAAACATGGGCAGACCCTCACAGCTAAACCCTGGAACAGTCTTCCTGAAAATGTGAGACAGGCCTTTTCTCTGACAATGTTTAAATCCAGGTTAAAACAGTTCTGTCTCTGATACAACTGAAGGATTTAAAATTGCTCTTTTTAATGTTTTGTGATTATTTATGATGTTAATGTCTTGAATAGTGCTGTACAGATAAACCTGCCTTGTCTATATATACTATACTATAATAATACTCTATAAATACTCTATAAATACTCTATAAATACTAGTATATTTGTGGATGACAGTGACGTTCTCTCGGTCCACAGCCGCAGCAGACTCTTTCTCTGCGATGTTTGAAAAGGAAAATTACTGTTTACAAAAAGTGGGAACGACTTCACTTCAGCTTCTTCAAAAGAATCTCTGCAAAAGTGTTTTTCTGTTTCTGAAAAGACAAGACGGACTCCTCCTGCTCCTCAGAGGCCAGTCCCTGTGCTCCTCAGAGTCCCAGCAGGAGGCCAGTCCCTGTGCTCCTCAGAGTCCCAGTAGGAGGCCAGTCCCTGTGCTCCTCAGAGTCCCAGCAGGAGGCCAGTCCCTGTGCTCCTCAGAGTCCCAGCAGGAGGCCAGTCCCTGTGCTCCTCAGAGTCCCAGTAGGAGGCCAGTCCCTGTGCTCCTCAGAGTCCCAGCAGGAGGCCAGTCCCTGTGCTCCTCAGAGTCCCAGCAGGAGGCCAGTCCCTGTGCTCCTCAGAGTCCCAGCAGGAGGCCAGTCCCTGTGCTCCTCAGAGTCCCAGCAGGAGGCCAGTCCGGCCAGTCCCTGTGCTCCTCAGAGTCCCAGCAGGAGGCCAGTCCCTGTGCTCCTCAGAGTCCCAGCAGGAGGCCAGTCCAGCTGCTTTAAAGTCTATTCTCTGAGCCACAGGAGCCAGTGCAGAGACCTGAGAACAGGACTAATGTGCTGGTATACCAGGAACCAGGAAGTATACTTCCTGGTTCTAGTCCAGACTTTACAGGAGTCTAACCTACAGGAGACAAAAGCAGGATAAGAATCTCCAACTCTGATTTAGACGCAGTACTTTTGATCCTGGCAGTGTTTTTTTAAATGATAAAAAGCTGCTGATTGGATGTGGCTGTGACTAAACTACAGCTTTAGTCTCCTGCGTCTGCTTTTAGGGCTCAATCTGCAAACTTCCTGAAATCCCTCCACAAACCTCTGCAGCAGAACTGTTCCGTATGTGTTCTCCGTCAAGGTCAAGGTCAAGTTTATTTATATAGCACATTTTAAAAACAGACAGGACTGTCACAAAGTGCTTACCAGACATTGTAAAACACAAATACAACACACAAATAACATTCAGCATAAAAATAAAATGCAAGACACTATCATAAATGTTGTGTTAAAAAGCCAAAGCAAAGAAATGTGTCTTTAGCTGTGATTTAAAACTCTCCACAGAGGAGGCAGCTCTGATGGAGTCAGGGAGAGCGTTCCAGAGTTTAGGGCCTGCCACAGCAAAGGCTCGGTCTCCTCTGGTCTTTAATCTAGACCTGGGACAGTGCAGAAGAAGCTGGTCAGAGGACCTCAGTGCTCTTCCCGGAGTGTGCAAAGTAAGCAAGTCAGTCAGATATGACTGATTTGCCGTCTGTGCAAAACCAGCTTGTAAAACTCCTGTGGTTTGGAACGACAGACTTTGAGGGTCTCGTTCTCTCGTAAACCCGGTGTTTTTCTGCTCCTGCCGATTCAGCGACGGACGGTTTTATCCCCGGACTCTTTAAAACGTGGAGCAGGTGTCGTGGCGTCCTCCCAAAGATGATGAAAGGATGTGGAACGTCACTGATCGATGAGACAGAGACGGACTCTGACGCGGCGGTATTTTAACAAAGAGAAGCCATTTTGATTTACCAGAAAGTGTGAAGCGTCGTGACGTTCACTGGAGCTGAGGGACTTTAGACCAGGACCACGTTGAGACCAGAGGAGCCAGAGTTTTAGGGAATTCTTTAGGACAAACATAATGAAAAACGTGTGGAGCTTTTGAAAGATCGACCTGGGGTTGTTTTTAGCGTCATCACAAACTCACAAAACTTGGTGTTTATCTCCCATGATTTAATCTGGAAAGACCCAAGACAAAGATTGCAATAAAACTACCGTATAATCCAGACTAGACTCAGTTTGACGGCTGTGTCCTATGTGTATGTTTTGAAAACATTTGTTTTGTCTTTTTGAATAAAAAAAACGTTCAAGGATTTTGTAAAGAAAGAATCAATCATAATCTGTTTGGCCGATCACAACCCTCTGTGTTGATTATATCCAGTTATAAACCTGGGCTATTTGCTAAAAATACATTTCCCAATATACAAAATACATTTCCCAATTCTAGGAAACACAACTGATAACTTTATTTGCATTAACACTCTGAGAATAAATTATAACAACAAGATTTAGAGGCTGGAAAAGTAATTTAGAAATTAAAATGAACGACTGTTATCAGTTAAAGAAGGATTGGAAAAGAGCAGTTTATTATTATGACAGATTAGGGCCCTTTAATGATGACAGATTAGGGCCCTTTAATAATGACAGATTAGGGCCCTTTAATGATGACAGATTAGGGCCCTTTAATAATGACAGATTAGGGCCCTTTAATGATGACAAATTAGGGCCTTTTAATTATAACAGATTAGGGCCCTTTAATGATGACAGATTAGGACCCTTTAATGATGACAGATTAGGGCCCTTTAATGATGACAGATTAGGGCCCTTTAATGATGACGGATTAGGGCCTTTTAATTATAACAGATTAGGGCCCTTTGATGATGACAGATTAGGACCCTTTAATGATGACAGATTAGGGCCCTTTGATGATGACAGATTAGGACCCTTTAATGATGACAGATTAGGGCCCTTTGATGATGACAGATTAGGACCCTTTAATGATGACAGATTAGGGCCCTTTAATGATGACAGATTAGGACCCTTTAATGATGACAGATTAGGGTCCTTTGATGATGACAGATTAGGACCCTTTAATTATGACAGATTAGGGCCCTTTGATGATGACAGATTAGGACCCTTTAATGATGACAGATTAGGGCCCTTTAATGATGACAGATTAGGGCCCTTTAATGATGACAGATTAGGGCCCTTTAATGATGACAGATTAGGACCCTTTAATGATGACAGATTAGGGCCCTTTGATGATGACAGATTAGGGCCCTTTAATGATGACAGATTAGGGCCCTTTAATGATGACAGATTAGGGCCCTTTAATGATGACAGATTAGGACCCTTTAATGATGACAGATTAGGGCCCTTTGATGATGACAGATTAGGACCCTTTAATGATGACAGATTAGGGCCCTTTGATGATGACAGATTAGGGCCCTTTGATGATGACAGATTAGGACCCTTTAATGATGACAGATTAGGGCCCTTTAATGATGACAGATTAGGACCCTTTAATGATGACAGATTAGGGCCCTTTGATGATGACAGATTAGGACCCTTTAATGATGACAGATTAGGGCCCTTTGATGATGACAGATTAGGACCCTTTAATGATGACAGATTAGGGCCCTTTAATGATGACAGATTAGGGCCCTTTAATGATGACAGATTAGGGCCCTTTAATGATGACAGATTAGGACCCTTTAATGATGACAGATTAGGGCCCTTTAATGATGACAGATTAGGACCCTTTAATGATGACAGATTAGGGCCCTTTGATGATGACAGATTAGGGCCCTTTGATGATGACAGATTAGGACCCTTTAATGATGACAGATTAGGGCC